GGCTTCAAAAAGTGAGGAATTTGGCCGGGCGTGGTGGCTCAAGCCTGTAATCCCAGCACTTTGGGAGGCCGAGGCGGGTGGATCACGAGGTCAAGAGATTGAGACCATCCTGGTCAACATGGTGAAACCCCGTCTCTACTAAAAAAAAATGCAAAACATCAACTGGGCATGGTGGCGCCTGCCTGTAATCCCAGCTACTCAGGAGGCTGAGGCAGGAGAATTGCCTGAACCCAGGAGGCGGAGGTTGCGGTGAGCCGAGATCGCGCCATTGCACTCCAGCCTGGGTAACAAGAGCGAAACTCCGTCTCAAAAAAAAAAAAAAAAAAAAAAAAAAGTGAGGAATTTAAGGATGGCCTCTCTCTCCAAATTGTCACATCCCTACTGAGCATGGCTATGGGGAGAGATAGGTTCATTTAACTAAATTTGAGGAGGGAAGAGCAGACCAGGAGCCGTGTTGTGATGATGGAGATGCTGCAGGTTGGTAGTTACAGCTTCCAGAGTGCTCTCACTAACCTGTTTTTAACTGTGAAAGAGGGTTTCTTTTTTTCTCAGACCTCCTTGAGCAGTAGGAGGAGAAAGAGTAATGAATGGCTGATATGTGCTATTAAATTTGCTTAACATTTTTTATGATCCATAATATAGAAGCTACTCGGTGCAAACAAGTAAAGACCTGTGTGTGATACTGATGATGAATTGCATTTTACTTCAAAAAAAATCCGCATTTAGAAATACATACACACAAGGGCTCAGTTTGTACCTGCTGTTGGACACAGCTGCTCCTTCTAGGAGAAGCCCACAATCAGAAACTCTGGTCTGTAGATTTTACTTCTATCCCTCTATCCTTCTTAGAAAGTTGTTAACAAACAGTGAAAATGTATAACTCAGTCTTCTTTCCCTTCCTTCTGTCTCTAGGGGAGAAAAGTGAAATATCCCAGAGGCCGCTGCCAGGAGAAAAAACAGATCTGAATAACCACTGGCCACAGTATGAAACATGTTCTGTAATAGGATTTTTTGGAAAAGTTTCACATTCCGACATTTGCCTCATATGCTGTGGCACAGACTATCTAAGGGGGGGTGGGGAAAAGCTCGGGGATTGCAGCCTTTCCTTAGAAGCATCATAAAAATCACCAGGTAGTGGTGTTTTGTTTTTGCTTTTATTTTTAGACTTCAGTGAAATTGGTGGCTTGCCCAGAATGGGCAGGGATCACATCCTGCCTTCACCTCTGTGGTTGTCCATGCTCAGATCTGGTTCTGACCTGGTCTTTAAGGAAGCAGTATTACCTTGGACAAGTCATTCTCCTCTCTCAGCACGGTTGCCTTCTCTAAAAAGTGAAAGGATTGGACTGGGATTTTAAAAATCCTTCCCTTATTAAACAGCTTAGGCACCATCATGCTGCAATGTTGTATGACCCCCCAAGCCTCTGTGGCTTTACAAACAAAGGTTTATTTGCTGCCCACCTGCCACTGTGGGTCGCCTGAGGCTCTGCTCCCAGCCGTCTATGCCCAGGGCTCGGGCTCACTAACAGCAGGCCCTCCCTGCTCATGCAGGTCTCAGAGCAAAGGGAAGCAGAGGTGGAGAACCGGTCACTGACCCTGGACACTTTCGCTTGGGAGCAACAGTCACTTCCCATTTCCATTCCCATTTCACTGGCCCGAAAGCTGGTCCCAGGAGTAACGAGGTAGGCGGGCGTGACTCCATCGGGAGGGCAGCAGACATTTGGAACCCTGGCAGGGGTCCTGCTCCTCCTATCTTTGCCATCCTGTGACTTAGGCTGAGCATGTTGCCTCCTGTGGTGGCAGTATGACCAAACTCAGATCCCAAGGCTTTGACCATTTTACATGGCTGTCCCCTGTTTGGGGCACATCTGCTGAACTGGACTTGGAATGAGTATTTCACCTGTGGGGAAAATTACATTAAAAGTGACATGTACCTGGCCTCAGAGTTCCTGCTGCCTTATTTGTAGTTCAGAGGTCATCTAGCCCATGCTTTTCAGACCACCACACGGACTTGCTCACTCAGAAGAATGAACAGAACTATAAAACACAGTTGCAGATGTGCTGAGATAAATTCCTCATACATGAATTTAAAAGAGAGCGTAAGGATCTTAGCCATTCATCTCTAAGTGTTGGAGATATTGTTATGGGGTATAATTTTGAAAGAGTCCTTTGATACCTCTGTCAAAAGTACCAACAGCTCTATTGATTTGACCCAATAGGGCATTTTTTCAAACTTTATCTTTCAAACTCCTAGGGGAGGAAGTGACTTGGAAAAGTCACTTATCTTAGATGAGGCCCCCAGAGACCGAGTTGTAGCATGTTAGCTCCCATTGGTGATGTTTAATAACACTGATTATTAGGCAGCCTTTTTAATTTCACTCAGAGAAATCTGCATTTAATAAAAAAATTAATGTTTAAAAACAAAATTAAAAAATTTGAAAATACAAAATTTTCCCTTTATTCAAGAAGCATAATTATGTTCACCAATTCTTAGAGGAAGAGCAGAATCCTAACCTAAAACCTTTCATCAGGCCTTAAGAGTCAGATGGACTATTTCCAGGTCTTTGAATATGAAAAATATTAAAAAGTTTTCCTTGTGAGCTTGGGTTTTCAGAGGATCTCTTTGGAAAGTTGGCAAATACTTACTTTCCTGGCATGAAAATTGTTTTTTTTTTTTTTTTTTTTCCTTTTCCCCTCCACCCAAAGCTATGACAGGGTGGAGTATACTTCCATGAAATTGCATGTTTCCAAAATAGAGTTCACCGTTATATTTTACTACTGTTATAATTGAATTACTAATGAAAAATAAGCAAAGAGTAGGCATTCTTAGAAATAGAATTTCAACTCCTGTTGTCGTTTAGTCATCATATTAGATAGAATTGTAATATTTTTTAAAACTGCCTTTTGTGCAAAACTGTACCAACCAAACAATTTCCAAAGTGGTTTGAATTTCATTCTCGTTTCTGCAGTCTTACCTAGCAGCACCCACAATCTCATGGTAATAGCACCATATCATTGCTGCTGTTTAGATTCTCTCCTGGTTTGGAAGGCTTCCAGAAGAGAGCCCTGCTTTCTTCAGCTCCTTATTTTATATTCCAGCAAAATCCTACACCCAACCTACATGATTAGGAACGCTCCTGGTGTTCCTTGCTGGTGGATTGTGAGTCACTGTTTCCTAGGATAGAATGGATCTGTAGTAGAACTTACTGACACATTATAGAAGTGATAGTTGTAGATGAAAGTTGGAAGCAGCAGATTTTTAAAAACTAGAACTATTGTTTTGCCGGCAGATTAATTGGTTACTGGTCTACTCCCAAAGATATCCACTAATAAATAATCTTAGTTGGTCATTTTCATCTCCAAGGTGACAGGTAACAACGCTCTACCTCTGGCAAATAATACCAGGATAACACCTTTTCAGATGTTTTACTCCTTGGTTCTTAATCACTGAACCCTTAGATAGTGCACTAGACAGAAACATGATCACAGTGGTCAAAAAGATATATGCATCCTTTTAAGTAAGGCAGAGAATGTTTTAGCACTCTCCAAGATACTCCTCAGCTAGCACACTTAGGCCCATAGAAAGTACATGATAGCTATGGGTTAAAATGATCTGTTTGTCTTCCTGGCTTGGAGGGCAGCAAATAAGTCAAAACCACTCAAGAAGGATGAAAAGGAATGAACGGCATGTAGATGAGATTCAAACATTTTATAATTAGCAAGAATTGGTGAAATTTACCATTTTCTCCTACCTTGAGATTTTGCTTTTTGTTTTGCTTTGTGATTTTTTTCTAGTTCATATTAGGTTTGACTAAAAAGGCTTTTTAAGTAACTCCCAGTGTTTGCCCTTCTGATTTGAGTATAGGTTTTTCCCACCAAAGAGTGACATGATTGTCTTTATCCTGTTCAGTAAATACAAGAGCAGATAAGAAGTATGGGATTCTACTGGAGTTTGCACAGAGCCCAATTCCTTCCCACAAACAGGCATTGGATTGATTGATGTGTAATGATGCCTGTGACATCATCATGGTAGAGCCAGCAGTAATTAGCTCTCAGCACTGATTGCCTCTCTCCAGGAAAGTTGGGCTTTGGGTCACGTCTGGGTTTCCTTGATTGAGATGCCAAATTGAAGTTAAAATAGTGAGTGAGTTACAGTTACTAGGAGCAAAAGGGTTGTTAGCATATATCAGAAACTGATGCTAGGAAAGTGTGCTTTTTTTTTTTTTTTTTTTTTTTTTTTTTAGTGGTGACTGTGTATTGCAAGTATCGTCAAAGGCAGTGGAGTCCTGAGAAATAAGTCTTGAGTGAGAAGTTTTCTAAATGTTTAGGTAACTCTAAGAGTGATTTTATTGGTGGAGAAACAGGACACTGTATTAGCTCCTGAGGGTACTTGTCTAGTCTGAGACTTCATGTGTCTGGGCACAGTTCTGTCCCTCTGTACTTTGCTGGTTTGAGAATTTACTTCAGTTTGGCAAGTTGCATCAGATTTGGTTTTTATGATTCACAGATATGTTAAGGCGAAAACTGTATTTGATTTTTCAGTGGAATTACAGATTACTTGGCCTGTTTGTGATCTGCCTTACCAAACTTTTGAGTTTGAAAGGCGATGTGTTTCTAGAATGCTTTCAGGAACGCGCACTGTTGAATGTAGCTTTGGCAGTCGTGTTGTCGTGGGTATCCAGGTGTGCAAGAGCATTTTCATTCTTGGACTCTGTTATGAAGACCTGGTCCTTATCAGTAGTTTATCCTGCTGGCCTACAAGTAAGTGATGCTATGAGAATCCTCTCAAGCTCAGAATGAACAGGATATGGCACCTGCTACATCAAACAAAGATAAACACAGGCAGAGGTCACATTCCATCTTTTACAGAAATGACCTCTATCAGCATCACCTGCGTATCCTGCTGTGTACACAAGGTTTCACATCTAGAGACATCTATGTTGTGGGAGTATATTCCAAGTGTGTGTTTTTAAGGTTGTTTGTTCCTCTATTCCCATGAACAGATATCAGTATTACCTGCAAGTCAAAAAAGATGTACTTGAAGGACGATTACGATGTACACTGGAACAGGTGATTCGGCTAGCCGGCCTAGCTGTGCAAGGTAAGACATGGTTATGAGCAGCATGTGAAATTCCATTTTCTGTTTGATCATGGTGTCGCTGGCCCCTCAGAGTGAGAAGTTAGATTTACTTAAATGATCTCTTAGCAATGCTCCCTTTTCATTTTAAGTTATCTTACATGAAAAATGCAAAGTTAGTGATTTTTGGTGGCCGGGTAGTAGATTTCTCAAAGCTGTTTGCAAACTTCTCATGCTTGTATAATTACAGTTTTATTTGAGGAAATAGCAGCTTTTATTCTGCCTTTAATTAAGGCTACATTTCAGGGGTTGTGGAAGATTTTCTTAGAATTTGTCCACTGCACAATGTGGTCATGTTCTGTGACTTGATGCTGTAAAGGTGTTACTATCACAACTTCTTAGAGTGTGATAGCTTTAAACATTATAGTATTATATATTCTAATGCAATTAAAGAGAGAAATTTAAAATCTATGATTGTAACATGAAACAACAAATGTGTATTGGACTGAATTTATCTTTCATCCTGTCCTGTATAGGTTTATATTACATCTCTGGTTTTTGCCTTCTCTAAATTGTTATGTGGGGGACTTTATATGTATATTTATACATTATGGCTTATTGAGTGGTGCCTTAACTGCCTTCAGTCATACTGAAAGCAAGATAGGCCGGCTCAGTGGCTCATACCTGTAATCCCAGCACTTTGGGAGGCCGAGGCGGGCGAATCACTGGAGGTTGAGAGTTTGAGACCAGCCTGGCCGACGTGGTAAAACCTTGTCTCTACTAAAAATTCCAAAATGAGCCAGGCATGGTGGCACACACCTGTAATCCCAGCTATTCAGAAGGCTCGAGCAGGAGAATCACTTGAACCTGGGAGGTGGAGGTTACAGTGAGCCGAGATTGCACCTCTGCACTCCAGCCTGGGTGACAAAGCTAGACTTCGTCTCAAAAAAGGAAAATTAAAAACATGTTTTCAAAAAAGCAAGAACACCGTAATATAATTTTTGAAGGGAAACTTTTCCTTTTAGTGATTTTCTTGACAATCAGCTTCTCTGCAAGTGTGAGCCAGCCAGCAGCTGGGTTCTTGCTGCGTGGACTGTTGTTTTAGAAGGTGTGAACTGACTTCCCATCCCAAACATTGGACTGAATGGAATCATCTCGGATCTAAATGTCTGAAGAGGCAGCCCTTCTCCTGACCTCTTTCATTATGGGGTGTTAACAACTTAGCAATTTCGGTTCAAAGTACAGTTCCCATACAGTTAGCTTCTGTTGTAATTCTGTGATTGGAAACAGGCAAAATCTGATGTGTCACCTCTGTCTGCTTAAAGACTGGAAGGAGAAGAAACAGTGACCAGTTATGATAGAGAAATCAGTGGTAGCATTGTTGAAATAATGGTGAAGATCAATATGTCCCTCATCTTCAAATTGAGTCTTTCTCCTTTTAAAAAGCTTTCGTTGGAATGGGTGTGGTAGTTCATGCCTGTAATCCCAGCACTTTGGAAGGCCAAGGCGAGAGAATTACTTGAAGCCAGCATCCAGGAATGCTGGCTTTACTGGAGTTTGATACCACCCTGGGCAACAAAACAAGACCCTGTTTCTACAAAAAAAAGTGAAAATAAAAAATTAGCCCAGCATGGTAGCACACACCTGTAGTCCCAGCTGCTCAGGAGACTGAGGTGGGTGGATTGCCTGAGTCCAGGAGTTTGAGGCTGCAGTAGGCTGTGATCAATTCACGACACCCAGCCTGGATGACAAAGCAAGACCTTGTCTTTAAGAAAATTAAACAAGTAAATAAAAACCTTTGTTTACTGCAGGTACTCTTTGCTCTCACTACTCAATCATTAGGCTTATTGTGGGCATCTGGATATTGGAAGATCCTTGAGGAATTTGGTGAACTTACTCCAGATTCCGTTTTCATTGGGTTCTTGAAGCTAGCTGTTCAGTCTGATGAAACCTCCTCTAATACTTTTCAAATAACTTTCTTGAGAACCCTTATTGAAGTTTTTAGAAAGATGTATCAATAGAAATATAAGTTGTGGTGGAATGTGATAACCAATGATTGAACTTGGAAATAGGCAGAGTGCATGACTTTTGCTATTCTTGAATGCTGCACCTAATTGGTAATTAGTTACATGCTGAGTTTGTAGGCTGATGTTTATTTTTTACCTTCTCAGCAACTTCACAACATTGGTACATGCCTGTGTGTATGTATCCTCTCATTCTATGTCTCGTTACCTTAAAGATACCTGGATCTATTTCTATCTGATGCTAATTATTTTACATGAAATTAAAGTTTCATGCAGGTTTAGTTTTTAGGAGAGCAAGTGAGAAAAGAAGGAAGACATTTATATATTTCCTTTTGCATGTGCTCAAACTGTACCACTCTGAGATGAAAACAGGAAAAACAGAATTTTTGGCATCTTGTAACATGTGAAATTATCTGGGAGGTGTAAAGATAGTTGAGGTTGCCTGCCAAGGGTGATTTACAGTGGGAATTTCCAGCTGCAAATATATGAAAAGATGCAGATGGGTATGGCTCTTCAGTTCTCCAAATTAACCTTGAGTTAAAAAGTCCCCTTGGCAGATGTTCTTAAGATAAAAATTGATGCATGTTTAACAAACAGATAAATACAGGTTTGTTTAAAATTTTTGAAGTGACCTTTAGGAATTGTTTTCAAATTTCATTATTTCTAAAGAATCGTTTAGTAGTGCTTACATGCTGATATTTATGTATGTCGTCATTATGTCTAAGTAACTATGTCAAACATATGTCGGCACTATTTTTATTTAATAATAGTGAGAAAATAGGATGAAATGTGAATAATAATGTGTTGATGAGTTTGCCCTATTTTATTTCATCTTTAATTTCCTATAATAAATACCACCCTTCTACCTTCTTCTCAGCTGATTTTGGAGACTATAATCAATTTGATTCTCAAGATTTCCTCAGAGAGTATGTGCTGTTTCCTATGGTAAGTGTAATTTTATTTTTCTTACCTTCTTTGGACATTTAGTTCTTTCCTTTGAAAATTTCAGGATTTTACATATGCATATTTCCTGGGGAAAGAATCTATGGGTTTATAAAGTAGGGACAAATTTTCTGAAACACACTGAGAAGGTAAAAATGCCTCCTTCTGCCTCAAGACACCTCCCTATTTTCTTTTTCAGATAATTTCTTATTAGGGTATAAAAATGCTACTGATTTTTCTGTGCTGATTTTGTAACCTGAAACTATACTAAATTTGTTTCTCAGTTCTATCAGATTTTTTGTGGAATCTTTAGGGTTTTCTACATATAATATCATGTAGTCATCAAGCATGCTTTTACTTCTTTCTTTCCTATTTGGCTTTTTATTTTTCTTGCCTGATTGTTCTGGCTAGGACTATGTTTAATAGAAGAAGTGAGAGTTGGCAGAAAAAAATCCAGTTTACAATGGCATTAAAAAAAAAAACAAACCCAGGAGTAAATTTAACTGAGGAGGTGAAAATTCTGTATATTGGAAACTATAAAACATTGATGAAAGAAATTGAAGATGACACAAATGGAAAGATATCCTATCTTCATGGATTGGAAGAATCAGTACTGTTAAAATGTCTACTGAAAGTAATCTACAGATTAATGCAATCCCTATCAAAATTCCAACATCATTTTTCATGGAAATAGAAAACAATCCTAAAATTAATTTGGAATCAGAAGAGACCCCAAATAGCCCAAGTAAATTTGAGCAAAAGAACTAAGCAGGCTACACCACACTACCTTATTTCAAACTATATTTCAAAGCTATGGTAATTAAAATGGTATGGGACTGGCAAAAAAATAGACACAAGTACCAGTGGAACAGGATAGAATGACCAGAAGTAAATTACACACATCTATAACCAATAGCTTTTTCAACAGAAGGGCCAAGAACACATTGGTGAAAGGGCAGCATCTTCAGCAATTGGTGCTGGGTAAACTGGCCATCTAAATGTAGAGGATTGAATTTGTGTCCTTATCTCACTCTTTGTACAAAATTCAATTCCAAATGTATTAAAGACTTAAATGTAAGACTTGAAAGTATAAAAAACTAGAAGAAAACATGGGGGAAAAGCTACATGACATTGGTCTGGGCAGCAATTTCTTGCATATGACCCCAAAAACACATGCAACAAAAGTAAAAATAGATAAATGAGATTGTATCAAACTAAAAACCTTCTCTACAACAAAGGAAACAACAGAGGTAAAGAGACAACTCACACATTGAAAGAAAATATTTGCAAATTATACGTCAGATAAGGGGCTTAAACTACCCAATGAGAAAACAAATAGCCATATTAAAAAAATGGGCAAGGGACCCAAATAGATATTTCTCAAAAGAAATGTACAGAAGGCCGATGGACATATGAAAAATGCCCAGCATCACTAATCATCAGGGAAATAGGAAATAAAACCACAAAGAAATACCACCTCACACCTGTTAGATTGGCTGTTATCAAAACAATGAAAGATAACAAGTGTTATTGAGCATGAGGAGTAAAGTCTTACTGAGCATGAGGAGTATTGAGCATGAGGAGTAAAGATAACAAGTGTTACTGAGCATGAGGAGTAAAGGAGGTATAATTTCTAGCCATTTTGGAAAACAGTTTAGAGGTTACTTGAAAAATTAAAAATAGAACTACCGTATAATCCAGCATCCTCGCTTCCGGGTATATATCTAAAGAAACTGAAATGAGTATGCCAAAGGGATGTCTGCACTGCCATGTTCACTGCCATGTTATTCATAATAGCCAAGATATGGAAACAACCTAAGTTCCCACCAACAGATCAGTGGGTAAAATGTGGTGTATACACACAATGGAATACTATTTGGCTTTAAACAAAACAGAGTTTTGTCATTTGCCATAAGATGGATGAATGTAGAGCACAGGATGCTAAGTGAAAAAAGACAAATGCAGCCCAGTCTCACTTGTATGTGGAATCAAAAAACGTCAAACTCACAGATGTAGAGAGTGGAAGGGTGGTTACCAAAGCTGAGGGTTGGGTGGAAGGAGGAAATGTTGATCAAAGGGTACAAAGTTAGGAATAAGTTCTGGTAATCTATTGCACAGCAAGGTGACTATCGTGAATAACAATGTATATTTCAAAATTGCTGAAAGAGTAGATTTTAAATGTTCTCACCACAGGGAGTGTAAATTAGTTCAACCATTGCAGAAGACAGTGTGGTGATTCCTCAAGGATCTAGAAATAGAAATAGCATTTGACCCAAATCCCATTACAGAGTATATACCCAAAGGATTATAAATCATTCTATTATAAAGACACATGCATGGACGGGCGCGGTGGCTCACGCCTGTAATCCCAGCACTTTGGGAGGCCGAGGCGGGTGGATCAAGAGTTCAAGAGATCGAGACCATCCTGGCCAACATGGTGAAACCCCGTCTCTACTAAAAGTACAAAAAATTAGCTGGGCGTGGTGGTGCGTGCCTGTTGTCCCAGCTAGTCGGGAGACTGAGGCAGGAGAATTGCTTGAAACCAGAGAATGGAAGTTGCAGTGAGCTGGTATCGCGCCACTGCACTCCAGCCTGGTAATAGAGTGAGACTCTGTCTCAAAAAACAACAACAAACAAACAAACAAAAAGACACATGCACACATATGTTTATTGTGGTACTGTTTACAATAGCAAAGACTTGGACCAACCCAAATGCCCATGAATGATAAACTGGATAAAGAAAATGCGGCACATGTACACCATGGAATACTATGCAGCCATAAAAATGGATGAGTTCATGTCCTTTGGAGGGACATGAATGAAGCTGGAAACCATCATTCTCAGCAAACTGACACAAGAACAGGAAACCAAACACCACATAGTCTCACTTACAAGTGGGTGTTGAACAATGAGAACACATGGACACAGAGAAGGCAACATCACACTCTGGGGCCTGTCAGGAGGTGGGGAACTAGGGGAGGGGTAGGAGGGAGTGGGGGATTGGGGAAGGTAGGAGAAATACCTAATGTAGATGATCAGGAATGGGTGCAGCAAACCACCATGGCAGGCATAAACCTATGTAACAAACCTGCACATTCTGCACTGTACCCCAGAATTTACAGTATAATAAAAAAAAATTAAATGTTCCCACCACAAAGAAATGATAATCATATCATTTCTTTGAGGTGATAGATATGTTAATTAAACTGATTAACATAACCCATTCCACAATGTATACATGTGTCACAACATCACATTGTACCAAAAATAGTTGGAATTATTATTTGTCATTAGAAATAAAGGTGTTTTTTTGTTTGTTTTTGAGATGGAGTCTCACTCTGTTGCCAGGCTGGAGTGCAGTGGTGTGATCTTGGCTCACTGCAACCTCTGCCTCCTGGGTTCAAGTGATTCTCCTGCCTCAGCCTCTAGAGTAGCTGGGGTTACAGGTGTCCACCAACATGCTCGGCTAATTTTTGTATTTTTAGTAGAGATGGGGTTTCCCCATGTTGGCCAGGATGGTCTCGATCTCTTGACCTTGTGATGCACCCGCCTCAGCTTCCCAAAGTGCTGGGATTACAGGCGTGAGCCACCATGCCCGGTCCCTATTTTTGTTTTTTAACAAAAAAGACACCTACCTACTTTCCTTCCTTCTCCCCTATTCACCGTCTACCCTCTGGCATGCTGGCCCCCGCCCCTTTTTTTTGCCAGAACGTACTGAGCTTCGCACCCCAGAGCCTTTGTACATGGGCTTCCTCTGACTGGAATGCTCTGCTCCAGATCTTTATGACATTCAGGTCTCAATTCAATATTACCTCCCAGAGAGCCTTTCCATTCTTTGACCACCTGTCTCATATACCCTCATCATCCTTCCTGTTAAATCACTTTTCTTATGTGTACTTCTGTTTATTCTTATGTATGTATTTATCATTGGTCAGCTCTGTGGTCTTTAGGCAGGGACCCTGTCTGTTCATTGTTATCTGGCACACAGACTGTGCTCATAAAAATTTTACAATGAATCAATAAAGTAAAATGCCCATCCCTGGGTGGAAGTAAAGATAAGGCTAGGTTGTAACCCCTGGGGAATTTTTCTTGGTTGGTTGGTTGGTAGCTTCAGGGTAAAAGAAAAGAGTATTGGCTGGGCGCAGTGGCTCATGCCTGTAATCCCAGCACTTTGGGAGGCCGAGGCGGGTGGATCACGAGGTCCAGAGATCGAGACCATCCTGGCAACATGGTGAAACCCCGTCTCTACTGAAAATACAAAAATTAGCCAGGTGTTTGGCATGCACCTGCAGTCCCAGCTACTCGGGAGGCTGAGGCAGAAGAATCTCTTGAACCCGGGAGGTGGAGGTTGCTGTGAGCCGAGACTATGCCACTGTGCTCCAACCTGGCGACAGAGCAAGACGCCGAATAAAAAAAAAAAAAAAAAAAAAAAAAAAAAAAAAGAGTATTAAATGGGAAGGATTAAAAACTTTTGAAAACCATTTTAGGGAACAGCTATAACCATTCAACCTCCTGGCTCTGGTTTCAGGAATCAGATCATTCACTACTTATTTTTTTGGTCAACTCCTTTACCCCAAGCACTGACGTGGGTAACTAACACCCAGGGGATGAAATTATATAAGAGATGGTGCATGTTTTCAAGGAGACTACAGTGTGGTTGGTTAAATAGGAAGTTTGCAAAATCAGAATAAAAAGCCAAGTATAGTAAAGTGTGATCAAAATGTTATGTGGAGAGAGGTCACATGCTCTTGGGGGATTAGGGAAGGCTGGAAGGCTGATGGCGTGTGAGCTATGAGGCAAAGAGGTAGGGGGCAAGGAATGATTTAGACAGAGGAGGAGCAGCAGCAGCGTGGCCCGGGTGTTCCGAAAGCATCCACTGGCTGGTTTGACTGTAGCTACTGGAGAGAAATTGTGGTGGATGAGACTGGAAACTTCTGCAGAGTTAGAACACATGGGCTCCTTCAAGTTCTGCAGACCCCACACTTTGAGAACTGCTGGATTCAAGCTGGTCAGCTGGGAATCTGCTGTAGTGTTATAGGCAAAGGATATCATTCAGATGTTCATGAAAGAAAAACAACAAAGCAAAGCAAGGGATATTTTGAAGTAAAATAGCCAAAATCTGGCAACTTCTCAGTGATGGCACATGGGAGAAAATGGAGTGTCTGGTAACAAAGGTTTTAAGTTTTGAGAGACTAAGATAAGTAACTGGAATTATTCATATTAGTGCATGAGGTCAGTCTAAATTGGTCAAAGGCTAATCTTGTTCCTAATAGGGAATGTTGCACATCTTTAACTTTTTATGAATAACTTCATTCTTTTTTTTTAAGACGGAGTCTCACTCTGTTGCCCAGGTTCGAGTGCAGTGGTGTCATCTCAGCTCACTGCAACCTCTGCCCCTCAGGTTCAAGTGATTCTCCTGCCTCAGTCTCCTGAGTAGCTGGGATTACAGGCACACACCACTACACCCAGCTAATTTTTATATTTTTAGTAGAGATGGGGCTTCACCATGTTGGCCAGGCTGGTCTTGAACTGCTTGAACTCAGGTGATCCACCTGCCTCAGCCTCCCAAAGTGCTGGAATTACAGGCGTGAGCCACCACGTCTAGCCTCCATTCTTACTTTATTTCCCTTCAAGTAAACAGTGGTATTATCTGCTGTGCCTGCTGTTTTTATACTTTATTAATTCTACTCATTAAATGAAACTCCAAAGACATTAACATATTACTTAGCAGAGAAGTTCTTCGTAGGGCTTAATGTGAATATGCTTGAGGCAACATTTCTAATGTCTCAGAATCTCATCTCCAAAGTCAGGGTGTTTTCCAGTGTGCTTGATGGGAGGAAAGTGAGGCTCAAGCCTTAGAATTTTAGAGTGTGCACATTTTTGTGTCAAATGGGGTGGTTGGTAATGGAGGGTTGATAATTTCTCACATTTTATTCACCTAACTCCCAGTAAAGGCCTTTATTACATTGCCTTTAGGAAGGCACCAGATTTGGGTGCTTCTTGGAGTTTTCAAAGGTGATTAGCAGCATGATGTTTTTGAGTTTGTGGACGTTAAAATGCCCTGACAGGTTAAAGCGCTATGAAGTAGTAAAGGAGTTATTTTGTGCATCATACCTCTTTGAGAATGAGACTGTTGCCGCTAAACTCTAGGCAAATCAGATCCCTAAACAGCATAGACTTCATAAGTCTCATCATTGGACAGACGAATATTGACAGTTATTTTTGGATCGAAAATGACTCTCTTCAGGATGGTAGCTGCTAGCCATGTGTGGATATTTACATTCAAATTTAAATTAATGAAAGTCAAATAAAATAAAAAATTTAGTTGCTTGATTGCACTGGCTACTTTTTTTTTTTTTTTTTTTTTGAGACAGTCTTGCTCCGTCACCCAGGCTGGAGTGCAGTGGCGCAATCTCATCTCACTGCAACCTCCGCCTCCCAGGTTCAAGCGATTCTCGTGCCTCAGCTTCCTGGGTAGCTGGGACAACAGCCACGTGCCACCACTTGGCTAACTTTTGTGTTTTTTGTAGAGACAGGGTTTTTCCATGTTGGATAGCCTGGTCTCGAACTCCTAGCCTCAAGTGATTCACACTCCTTGGCCTCTCAAAGTGCTGGGATTACAGGCTGAGCCACCGCAACGGCCTTGGCCACAGTTTTAGTGCACCATAGCCACATGTGTCTAGAGGCCACTGTACTGGAAAGCCCACATATGGAACACTTTCGTCATCCCAGAAAGTCCTGTTGGATGCTGAAGACGACGTGGCAGAAGCCTTATCTGAGTTGTGAATGTTCCTAGGCTTTGGTCATCAGCCATCCACTTTCAGTCCCTGCCTCGTTGTATCCTGGGTGCAGTGTGACCTTTGGCTGGCAATTTCGTGGCATCTTTGCTGGGCAGTGCTGTGACCCTATCCTAGCTGTGCCCCTTATTGGCTGTATGACTTTAGGCAAGTTAATTAACCTTTCCAAGCCTCAGGTTTCTCATCTAAAAATGAGAATAACAAGCCTAATTTCATCGTGAGCATTAAAGGACATAATACCTGTGCAATACCTAATACGAAATACATAATGCAAGTTGGCACATAGTAAATTCTCAGTAACTGTTTATTTAGTTGTCTTATTGTTATGAGCACTGTTATTCTGTCTCTACGTCTTGCAAATATAAGGCTGTTGAGGAGTATGCTTTCCAGGTAACATCGCTCTATGCTTTATTTTTTTTGATTTTGTTATGTAAGCAGACAGAGCAATGCAGAAGGTACAAGTGATTGTTAAGCAGCTCTGTGTAATTAAACTTTTGACAATATGAAATGTACATGTCGCATAGTAAGTTCACTTCAAGAAACATATATTGATCACTTGCTACTTATTGAGCCCTTATAAGCTGTTACTGCACAAAAGCCCTGTGAGAGGCACCTTCAGTGATATGAAGAATTGTTGCCCTGGAGGACCCTGTACTCTCATAGAGGGTGGGAGACGGATCAAGGATAAGGCGAGTATACACATAAGTGTGTGAGAAATGCAGTAGCCAGAATATGAGAAGAGACACACACAGAGTAGAAGAGGTAGTTCAAAAGGAAAACATGCTTATGTCCAGTTGGGGAGACAGGAAAGCCCTGTCGAGGGAAGCGTTAGCTGAGACAGACCCTAAGTTGTGGCATTTCACATTGTGTGATGTGACAGGATGGTTTTCCCAGGGAGGATGGGCATATAAAGGCTCGTCCTTTACGAATGGATATAAAAGCAGTGTGTGTTAGAAGAGGAGCTGGCCTGGGGCGTGACCTCTTGGTCAAGGAGGTCTGGAAGGGGAAGCTGAGTCACACTGAAGAATGGTCTGCATGCCAGGCCCAGGTGTTGACCTCGCTGCGTAGGCCAGGGAGGAGTCATGGAAGGGTGTAAACTTTCTGCTTGGTTCCACTAGAGCTTTCAAAGAGAATGCATTCCTTTGGTGGGGCAGGGAAGATGGGATGAATGGCTGTGTTTGATCTTATAAAGTAACCAAATTTGTTAAATGGCATTTATTCAGCAGAGAAAAGAACAAAGTCAAGTACACAGGGCGCTCCACAGGTGTGTGGCTGTGTACAGGCATGCACTCTGCCATTTTTCATTCCCACAGGGCCATGCTCGCACTCTCCCTGGAGGGGCACATACCTCAGGGAGGCCCCAGGTGCAGATGGAGGCGGTTAAGTTGAGAACAATAGAGGGGGTACCTTTGCGCTTCTTCTTTTCTAAAATTGGGAAACGGGAGATTTAATGGAACACTTTTTGATCTTCACTTTATTTTATTCTGTTGCCACATGCCCTTGATTAGCTTTTCAAAATTAATGGGGTTTTTACTGCTACTCAATATCTAGATGCACATCCATAGCTAACTTTCTAAGCTTTGTGGTATCTTTGTTCCTCCACAACATGAAACTGAAAATGTTGAGCTTATTTCCTGTCATGGACTTGAGTCATTTCAATGGATGGCTAAACAGGAAACTGCCAATTAATCAGTTACGTGAAAAGTAAGAGCTGCCATAATTCCCCGTCTGCTCTAGGGTTTCTCATGAACTCTAGAGTTAGCAGGATGTGCAGAGCTATAGAATTTTTAGCATATAATTATATCTTTGCTTTCCAGTTTTAAAAAATATTGATCGTTCACATTTCAGTGATTTGAGATGGGATGTTTTTCATAGTTTTGAGGTATACATATTTAAGGGTAGTGTTTTCATCTATGAAAAGTTGCTAAGTTGGAGATAAATCTTTATATAAATGGTGTTTTAGAATCAAGGGAATGGGGCATTTGGTATGATTTCTGTCAAAACGTCAGTCTCTACCTTCCGTCCCAGTAGGGTAAGATTCAGATACCCTCATCGGGATGCAGCTCGGAGTCCCTTCTGACATCCTCTGGAGCTCACAGGAAATGGTACCCATCTGTACTCTCTTGGTGCTTAGCAGCCTGGAATCTGTGGGAACTGCTGCTCAGGAAAGCTAGAGGCAGCTGGCTTATTGCTGGAGCCCCAGGCCACCACAGGCATGAGACAAACTTTAGAATCTCAATCCCTGTCAACTTCTCAAGAATGGATTGCTTTGGTCTGCTCATGTTGGATTATTCCTCTTGATTCCATCTCACCATCCTAAACAGTGCTTCCCTGGTCAGTGTTTAGCAAGCCCGTTTCCATGATGTTAAGGAAGGGGAGTTGGGAAAAGTTGTATGTAATCGGTTCTTCTAAGCCCACAGTAGTCAGCACATCACTGGTTCCAGGGACCTGGGGTTCAGTTGATAGAGAGGCTGACTAGGCAGCTACATACCTGTTGCCTTACAGAGCTCTCTGGAGATGTTTTAGCCGTCATGGCTTCTTCTGCTCCCATGACCATCAAGTAACAGCAGAATGAGCCTACTCTGCCTTCAGTGGTTTTGAATTAGTTTCCTGGTATTGTGCAGGTGGACAGAAAGTCCTGGCCCAATCCCTTCCTAGGCTCAACTTTTGAAGGGATGATGGCCTGGAAACTCATTGGCCTATACTCCGATCGTTAGATATATAGAAGCCATGCAAAGCATTTTTTGTAAACATACATCTGAGAGGCAGGCAGGTAGATAGGGAAGAATGAATGGCAAGAGCTATTCCCAGGCACCACAGAACTCAGGTGGCAACCCAAAATATACCTGGAAATAAACCTGTTATTATGGAGAGCCATGTTATAACAGTAGAAATCATAACTCAGTTCTAAAAATTACAATCTTTAATTCTACAACAGTAAAAGAGATATTGAGGAAATGACTAATCAGGAACATCTGAGGAAGGGAGCCTTTAAGGTTTGCAAGCAAAATAGCAAATGCCCACACCCTCTTGTAACCTTCAGCACTTTCTATTCTTACAGGATTTGGCCCTGGAAGAGGCTGTTCTGGAGGAGCTGACCCAGAAGGTAGCCCAAGAACACAAAGCCCACAGGTAAGTCAGGCGGAGGGTAAGGGGCTGCCCGCCACACAGATGTTTACTGTACATGGGCCAGGAGGCGTTTATCTCCCTATCTGCAACTCTGGGCTTGAGTCAGCACATTTGCCTTGCTTCCACCACGTGACTCAGCTCTGTACTTCCGTTCTGAAAAGGTGAATGTCGACTTGAAAACTGTGCTCTGGTCCTTCCCTCCCTCCCTCCCTTCCTTCCTTTCTTCCTCTGAGAATCTGGGAAGCCTGAGACAGCCTTTGCCAATAGAGTGAAGACCGGAAGTGCTGTGTTGGGTCAGAGGCAGGTGAAGGAAAGAAAAGGAGAGAAACTTCAAGGAAGCACCAAGAGTTTGATGTCAAGGCCTATGCAGTGATTCTAGGTTCTCTCATCCTGGCCTTTTTTTTTTTTTTTTTTTTTTTTTTTTTGGAGGGTTTTTCGTTAGTTTTTTTTTTCCTTCTCCCCCCCCTTGCTTCCTTTTTTTCTATCAGCAGAGAAAACACA